TTAATTTTAAAAAACACGAAACACACGTAATAACACAGTCCAAAATGCAAAATATTTATCATTTCTATTTGACATAATTTGACACAAAATTATAACCTATAATTTGGCAAGAGTTTGACAACTCTCAGAAATCTTAAGCCGAGTTCATACGCACCGGCGCGGCGCCCGTTTGTTGTTCTTCGTTCCGTCAAACCAATAATATTGAAATATTATGATCTGTCATTTTTGAAATAAACCAATAAAACTGGTTAAAAACAACAAGAGACGACGCCATGGCGGATTTATATATAAACCCATCCATAATTCCATAATTACCTTAAAAAATAATCGAAACTTTTTGTAGTGAAATAAATAGACAAAGATTGGTATGGACGTCAACTGCTTTTTTTTCTGTCATCATTTGACAACTTTAAAAAGTATAACAAATATTTTCCAAGTACACGAGTCGCCTTAGCGCACCATAAGAATAACATATTTGAAGGGAATTTATTTACCAATGGTCTTATAAAATTACACAAGCATCTTAGATCATATTTTCATAGGAACATTTTATGTTATTCCATGGTTATTTCTAACTTTAGTGCCATCCACTGAAAGTGTTATGGTTATGCCTATTTTTTTATATCCTGTAGATATATTTTTATTCAGTAATATTTTACAAAGCCCATTTTTTGAAGATAAGAATAGAGAAAAAGGAAAACTATTTTTTTGCTTCAAATATTATTTAAGTATATTTGATATCAATTAAATTTGTAGTTACGTAGTGGAGGGCGCAATTTTTCAATTCATTGTTACCAACCATGGACATATTCGGCGCCGGGCTGACTAACTGGAATTTAAACTTCGTGCTGGGGATTCAGGTGGTAGCTCTACTGTAAAAAATGCCAAGTTGCCGCATTTATTTATTTATTTCCTCACATTGTCATTATGATGAATAAAATGTTTATTGGAAAAAATAGTATTTTGATAATATCACAATTAACAGAACAATCAACTTAATTAAAAACCATATTATGTACTATTGTTACTGCGGAATCAATAATTAAGTTCATATAAACGTATATAAGTAAATATATTGATTTAATCTTGTAATTATTTTAACCGTAGTATCGAATGACGTTATGAGAGTCATTAAAATTTTATTTTAATGGTCAATAAAAGGCTGAAATTGTCTATGAGGTTGTCGAATCAAGAACTTCGATTTCAAAATTTTTATAGCACTTCGCCATATTCAAAATTATTCTAATAAACCGATTATTTAAGATCTAACTAAATTCGGATTTCAATTTATTTCATTCTAGGATCGCTTGCGTTCGTCCCTTGTAACTCGTCACTTGCATCGCTTGTTCATAATCGAACGATGTCGGTTACTTCAATAATCGAGTACTCGAGCGAATTCTCGCTCAAGTAATCCCATCACTAATTTTAATGTGACATACTCGATAAAAAGCCGAGCGAATTTTTTACATACATTGCAGGTAGCAAGTTTATACGTTATCCGTTGCGTATTTGAGTGACAAAATTTTACGACCTACATCGACAATGCCTTGAAATAAAATAAATCAAGCGAATTACTCGTCGCTTGGTCGCTTGCTACTTGCCATTCATCACCGAAAGAATATGTGCTCTGCGCACGCAACTTACTGCTTGGTGCTACGAGTACAAGCAACAAGTGACAAGTGACGGGTGAAAAACCGTATTTTTAAATACGGGCGATATTTCGCTCGATTCAATCGCTTGAAACTCGAGTACTCGATTATTGAAAGTAATCGGTTTTTCCCATCACTAATCTTTTAGTCTTCTTTCTATTGTAAGTATTTTATATTTTTAATATTTTAGATCAATTTAATCACAAGAGTGAAAAAATAAAAAGAATACAGAAGCGCTAAAAATAAGAAGCTTTTGTTGAAATAAAAAATATTTCATCAACTTCAGATATCTACATAATATAAAGCCACTCAGATTTTAACTCTTGAATTTATCTACCTATACAGGGTGAGTCTTAATTAAGTGCAAATATTTTCAGGACTGGTAGACCTCGATAAAAGAAACAGATTTTCTCTTTACCGTTTTTTCATATAAGTCCAAAGTACCGAGTTTTTTTACGTTGAAAATTTCCAAAAAAAAATATTTTTTGCTTAAATTTTGAGAACCATTGGATATTTGTTGGGTTATCTTTCTTGTAAATTTAATCTACTACCTATGATAATGCTGTTATATTATCAAGAAATTATGTTTTTTTAACTAAAAACTAGAAGTTCTAAAAAAAATTCAAAAACATTATTCGTGAAAAAAAAATCATAATCATGTTTCTGGGATCAAAATATAAAAACATTTTCACTTATTTAACAAAGAATATTTGCTCTTATAAGGCTCACCCTATATAATAAAACTAACAAAATTTATCATTTATAATATCACAAGAGAAAATATTTTCCGGAAATTCTTATCAGGCTACAAATACTTTCAAAATTCTCAAGAGTCAAAGTCTAAAAATATTCCGGAAATAATTTATGCTCGTGTGATATTCCGTATTAAAAACCATTAAAATTAGGCGAAAATTTAAAAATCAAATTAATTTTAGTGGTTGCAAGGTCTGTGAAGTTTTTGTTATTGGGCGTATATTATGTTGATGTATCACTTTTGTTTGAGCTATTACAAATGTTACAAAAACTACTTTTAAAAAATACATTTCACCTATTGTACCCGTCTGTATTTAAAGTAAAAAAATATATGATGGCAATGTCTAATGCCTACATCATATATAATTTCTCAATTACTTGATTTAAACACACGATAAAAACACATAACTACGTATTTATCACAACCCTTTAAAGTTTGTGCATGTTCGATAATCATATTAAGTGCATTTAGAATGGTTAAAAGTCAAATAGTATACAAATTTTCAAACATTCTTTTTAACTAGTCAAACCATCACTTATTACAATAAGAATATTAAAGAATCCTGATTTAAAAAAGTATAATTTATTTTGAACGTTTTTTTTTCATAATTAATATTATTCGAGAAAAAATATATTTTAACTGAGGAGGCCGTGTTTTGGTATTTAGGCATAACTTTTAATTCTAAACAACTTTTCCTAATGACAGTTTGCTGATTTTTTTTTTAAATAAGGGTACTTTACTCTCGTGCAATTTTTATATTTTTTGTCTTACCTTGTATACTATTTGACTTTTAACCATTCTAAATCCACCTAATATGATTATCGAATATGCACCAACTTTTCGCAATATTAGAATTTTGGTAGTGCAATAAATAAAAAAAATCCCATATGTTGCACACTAAAATGACCACACTGTATATGGAATCGTCAAGAGAGAGCCAGCATCCTCCTCAGGCCGGGGCACCAATGAGTCAGACTTGCAATTGGATATAACATTGTCTAGGGATTTTACAAAGTAACCATTTTGAAGCAAATCAGTTTTAATATTACTTAGTTCATAATTCAGAGATTCTTGGTCACTGCATATATTGATTGCTCTATGACATAATGTTTTTATTATATCTCTTTTGGTTGCTTCAGAATGGTTCGACTGAGAACTTAAATATTCCATTGCTTCTACTGACAAAAACATCCAGAAACGGTAGACACAAAGTTTTTCTCTCTCTCAATCGTGAATCTGATTGAGTTATTTTGCGAATTAAGATGAGTGAGAAAGGAATCCAACTGTCTATCGGTTCCATTCCAGATTATAAAGGTATCATCAACATATCGAAGCCAGATTTTGGGTTTGACGACTGCGGTACTAATAGCATTGTATTGGTCCAAACCAATGCAATATCACGATTAATCACAGCAACCTTGTAGATCTATTTTGTGATCACAGAATCTACATTCGCCGTTGTTTCTCAGCTTCATTCTACTGAGGTGTGCATTGAGGAGACAGCGCCTTGTTAAAAACATCGTGACAATCCGAAGATCGTTGTTACTTATATCAAAGAAAATATTTAATTCTCAGTCGTAAGTTCTAAGAAATATCTTTGATTGACTTAGACCGTTGGAGGATTCCCATTCCAAGTTACAGATGGAGTCTTCCAGGTTCTTGAGTTCCGCTTTAAGTTGATTTCCACTTTGAAAGCAAAACGGTTCTGGTTCAGTTAATGGAGTATTCGCTCCTTTTCTAGCTAGATCGTTTGCTTTTTTATTACTTTCTATCCCTTGATAGGATGGCATCCAGAATAGCACTTTTTTTAACACTGTTTTCTTTGTCTGATTGGTCCAGCTTTCTGTGAATTAGTGTTTTATTTTGCTGTTACAACACCATAAGGTTACAACTCCCAACGGTTATCTTGTTCAGCTTCTCTAGTCATTCTATGACCAACTTCGAATTGACGGTTATTGAGTTGATCGCATTTAATGCAGCTTGATTGCCTCTGATACATCTGAGGTGATACATCTTTCACCTCTTAATTAAATCTATTACCTTTTTCAAAAGATACAAATTTTTAAAATAAAACTTTAGTAATAATATAAATTGTACAATATAAAGTATGGAACTAATACGGAACGGAAGCATACGTATAGCGTGAATACAGTCAAAAATACGGAACGGATATGGAATGGAAACGGAAGGTATAGAGAGAATCAACCTTAATTTGATTGTATTCACACTGTTAAACGTAACCATGGAAACAGTACGAAAAACGGAACGGATAGCGTGCATGGTCCTATTCATTTCCATGAGATAGAATATTCTCCGTAAACGGAAAGTAGCGGATACAAAACGTATAAGCACGTATAAGTGATAATCTTTGTGATAATCAACCTTATTGCGCCATCTCCCAATAACATTTATCAGCATCTATATTTCTTATTAGAAATCTGTCGTTATATTTTACTTAGAACAATAAAATTGTCCACAGATTGTGTTGTGGGATTTGTTAATATCTCCAATCGATATGAATACTAAATATGTATTATCTTTCCAGCCTAAATATTAAATTTATGTATTAATTATATAATATTTGTTTTTATTTTCAGATTAATTACTTTAAGATATACAGCGCCGATAAAGCTACTGTTTACCAAACGACATTTAATGGCTGTTATCGGGGAAAAACTAGTCAAACTATTATTTGATTTGAACTTTGAAACTCATCCGATATTTATCCATTGTTTTTCTAATGGTGGAGCGTTCCTCTATCAGAACTTTTCAATAGCATTAGACAAACAAGTCAAACCCCTTCAGGTAAGCACCAAACGAAGAAATGATTTTTTTTTATTGTTTCATACAACAAATTTGTAGACTATTTTGAATAAATATATTAAAAAAGAGCATATCAACACACTTAGAACGAGTACGATAGGGGTTTAAGATGACTGTATTAGATTCCAGTTTATCAATGAGATTCTACTTTCTACTTTTATTTAAAATAATATGCAAAAATATAATGTAGGTGTAGTAGATAATATTGTTATAATCCCGTCCTCATTTTAATCAAATTTGTAATATTAGTTTAGGAATGTCCCATCTCTAATAAAAACCTTCATACCTTTGAGGTCATAAACGACCCTACAATATAATTCTAATTGATAACTTTAACTATTACTGTTGGGAATTTTGATCATAAATTTATATAGCTTTCGCAGACGTCTGTCTATCTGAACAATGTAAGTTTAGGGCAGTGTCGTCCACTGCTCTGAATATTAGATTAAGGATATAAAAATTGTACTGTACGCCTCTGGCATTTCTGTAGCTTAGATATTATTTAAGGAACTGCAAGACAGGCCCTCACAACTTTTTTTGCTGAAACCTTCTTTTTGCTAAACACTCTTTTACTTTTGCTCTTCAACTCTCTTTTTACTCTTCAAAACATTATTAATTCTCACAGTTTCCCTCAGGGTAACTATTGTAATTAGTTTATCATAATTAAAGTTAAGTTATATTAAAAAACAACAGTGTACATTAATTCCACACCCGAAAAGACCCTCAACAAGTTGGCCCTTCTGAAGAGGACCACAACAAAAATTGGCGCTGCGAACAGGATAGGATATAGGATTGGGTTAGTCCAGATAAGGATTCAGGATTGGTTAGGCCAGTTCAGGACAAGACGGGATAGTACGGGACAAAAGGATTCTCAAGGAGGAAAAACAGGAAACTGGTCCAGGAGAATACCGTTGGTAAGTGGAATTTGTATATCTTGTTTAGATTTTGTATCGAGCGTTTTGTATAACTTACTAGTATTTTTTTTAACTCCGTTAAAAAGTACTTTACTAAGTTTTATTAATCATTTTTTTTACTAAATTTATTAACAAAATTTATCATGAATACCAATTCAAATATCGATTCACTATCGTTAGATTTCATATGTAGGTTGATTCCTTTCGGATTTAGCGGTGATAGAAACGAATTAGGACAATTTTTGGCAAATTGTAATAGTGCCAATGAGTTAGCCAGTCAAAATCAAAAATTGCCTCTATTATATTTTATATTATCAAGAATATCAGGTACAGCAAAAGAGCAACTAACAACACAAAGCTTTGAATCTTGGGAAATTTTACGACAAAAGTTAAAAGATTTATATAAAGAGCGAAAACATTATGTCCAATTAATAGAAGAACTAAATAACTGTAGACAGAATTCTAATGAATCCGTAGATGATTTCTTTCAACGTTTAGAAGTTTTATACCATCGTACGATTTCTTCTGCTCAGCAGAGTTATCGAAACGATGCCGAATTACCGGGTAAAACTCAAACAATACGCGAATTAACTTTAAACAGATTCATTTACCATTCTAAACCAGAAATTTCACAAATGTTAAGATATAAAGGATTTAATTGCATTAAGGAGGCTCATAATGCTGCCCTCTGTGAAGAAAGGATATTAAATATGTTAAAAACTAATAAAAGCAACCAATACTGTAAAATATGTCGTAACAATTCGCATTCTACAAATAATTGTTGTAAAAATTATCCGCAATCTAATGGAAATTACCGAGTTCATGTTAACAATTCTAATAAATCTAATAATCATAATTTTAATCATACATTTAATCAACCTTCTTCAAATAGTCAACATAATAATATTAAACAATGCAAATATTGTAAAAAGTACGGACATACAATAGATGAATGTAGGAAATTGCAATATAAAAATTCTTACAATGTATTTAACAAAAACAAAAATCCTAATGATATACAAAATAAAAATTTTAACAGGGTATCGAATCAGAATCAAATACCTAATGAAGTATCGAATATTAGATCCGTAACAAATAATCAACTATCTTTAAACTCCCATGCTCCTCTGGCGGAGAAGACCCCTCTGGAGGAATCGATCAAAATGTTACAGGTCTTCGAAAACTAAAAATTCTTAGTGACGATAACAACTCTATATTTTTAGAATTTAAGTCTGATTTTTCTAATAATAAAGATAAAATATTTCGATTTTTATTAGATACAGGTGCTAGTGTATCTTTAATCAAATTAGATAAGTTAAATCCTGAAATTACTAAATTTTTTCCTAGCGAGAAATTAACCTTACACGGTTTAAGTACAGATTCTCCTGTATTAACGGCGGGTAGTACTATAATTCCATTTAATATTAGGAATCATACATTGAAAATAAAGTTCCATATTCTTAATCAGAAAACAAACGTCCCTTATGACGGTCTGATCGGATACGACTTTATTAAATCACAAAACGCCCAAATTGATTTAAAAAAGCAATTATTCTCTCTTGACTCGCTACCTTTTCCGCTACATCTAAAAATGAATATTAATCCTTATAATAATAATTATCTTATTTTAAAGCCCAGAACAGAAACTGTTATTGAAGTTAATGTATTAAATTCTGATTTAAACGAAGGAATATTACCTAATCTAGAACTCGAAAGGGGTATTTACTTATCAAAAGCTATTACTAAGGTCAATTCTAATAAAAAAGCTTTTGCTACAATTCTAAACACTAGAGTAACAGAATACGAATTAAAACCATTTTCAGTTTATTTAGAACCATTAAATAATAATGCTAAAACTCTTAATATCTTTACTAATTCAACAGATTTATTTAGCAGAAATAAATTATTAAATCAAAACCTTAGACTAGAACATTTAAATATTGAGGAAAAAGGACATATTTTAAATTTATGTACGGAATATAATGATATTTTTCACCTACCTGGCGATAAATTTACTTGTACTCAAACTATGAAACACGAAATTAATTTATCAGCAAAAACTTATAGATATTCGAAAAAACAAAATGTATCTGGACAACAAAACTTTCAGATTGTCCATAAACAAGGCAGAATAAATTCTAATGTAGATGCTCTATCACGAAATATCAACATTAATATAATATCAAAAGACGACGATTATCAAAATTTTATTAAATATCATTATCAAACCTCAGAAATTACTCCGAAACTTGATATTAAAAACTCAAATTTATTCGATAATTTAGATGCTGCTATTTATTTTTCTTCAGATCTGGACGAAAATAATCCATTTTCGCAACACATTAAAGATAATTTCGACTACAATATTAATCAGATAATTTCTCCTAATTTATATTCAATTTACAAATTAAAAAATCATAATAAATTATGCTATTTAATGATTACAAAACATTTTCATTTTGATAAATTAAGCTATAAGGATATATTTTATTCTCTACGTAATTTAAGAACTCAGTTAATAAAAGATGATATGAAAACAATAAATTTACCTGACATTTCACTTTATTGTACACATTTAAAAAAATCTATGTACTACAAAATAATTCATTATTTATTTAGAGATACCAATATTAACGTACATGTCATTAATAGAGAAAAGTATAAACCTGAGACTAAGGAAGAGATTGAACAAATATTAAAAGAAAATCACGATTCTAAATTAGCCGGACACTCTGGTTATACTAGAACTTATAAAAAGATTAAGGAAAATTATAAATGGAACAATATGAAGAAAGATATCAAAAAATATATTAAACGCTGTTCTTTGTGCCAAATAAATAAAATTAATTATAAACCAAATAAGGTCCCTATGGAAACTACATCCACCAGCCAAAAGGCTTTCGAAAAATTAGCGATTGATATAGTTGGTTCATTACCCATTACCGAGAATGAAAACAGATTTATAACTCAAACTAAAGAAAAAATAATTAAATCAAAGCTTAAATCAAAAGAATATTACGATCAAAAAATTAAAACGACTATTTATAAACCTAATGACCTAGTATATATATTAAATAAACAAGTTTCTCCAGGCTTAAGCAAAAAATTATCCCCTAATTTTAAAGGCCCGTATAGAATAACAAAAGTACTTAATGAAAAAAATGTTCAATTCAAATTGGGAAAAAGACATATTATTTATCATACTAACATGATAAAACCCTTTATTTCAGATTAAAATGTTCGCCTTATTTTTATACCTTATACTTTTTCCATTACCCTCTAACACTTCTAATTATCATATAACTTATCTACCTGGACAAGCGGGAATATATTATCATAAATTGGGAAATGCAAAGATATCCGGTTCTGAAATCATTCTTTTCACACACCTAAATTTATCTTATTATAATGATAAACTAAATTCGCTCTCTCACGCATATTAAAGATCTTTTAAATTATGTCATAAGTAATGAAGATACAGGTCTCGATAATAATTTTTGATATAATAATTTGAAAAGAGGAATTTTTAATGGCACTTCATACGCTTTTAATCGATGGTTTGTATACTTGATGCAAAATTTTATGATCAAGCCATAAAATAACTATTTACCGTTAATTACGAAACTCGACTTACTATGAAACAACAAATAAGAATTATTTCAAATACTATTCAAAATTTTAAAGCCAGTATTCACAAGTTTTAACTTAAATTAACAATTTTTAAATATAAATACAAAATTCTTTAATCAATTCAGTAATCAAACTAGTAAGATATATTACGTAGCGATGTGGGATCTATCAAGTTGTACGAAAACCACCGAAAACGAATTCATATGCAAGCATCCTCAAGTTATAAGAATTCAAGAACTTAACTTAACTCCATCAAATCTGGAGCCAGTGAAGATAACAAATTTAAAATTGGATAAACTGAACTTAGCTAATCACAAGCTTAAACAGATGGACGATCTTTTAGACATACAATTGAAGAAACCATTTATTGTGCAACATTCACACTGGTATACTGTTGGACTATCCTCTTATTGTACGATCATCTTATTGTATAATATTCTAAAATGGTGTGGACTCTTTAACCTGCTAAGAAGATTACTATGCTGTACCAAGGAGCCCAGGACCCTCTCTGAAGGTTGCTGTATTAAACTATTTAATACAAATATTAATACTCCAAATCCAATAACTCAGGCCCAATTCGAACAAAGATTGGAAGAAGAAGCTGGAAGAAGTGGACTCCCAAGTAATCGTTCAGCCGTGGAATTTTTAAACTTAAGTGGTCGACGCTCGACTAGAACACCATCGGTTCATATGGATTAATTAAAGACTAAAATGTTCAGTGTATTTTTACCTTTTTTATTTTTTTTTTTCAAACTTTTACTCTTAGAATAGTGTAGTTATTGTGTGTATTGTTTATTGTTTAATTTGACGATTTTTGTTCCCTTAATTTTTTTTTGTCATAAAAAAAAATTTTCTTAGGGGGGAGGTGTTATAATCCCGTCCTCATTTTAATCAAATTTGTAATATTAGTTTAGGAATGTCCCATCTCTAATAAAAACCTTCATACCTTTGAGGTCATAAACGACCCTACAATATAATTCTAATTGATAACTTTAACTATTACTGTTGGGAATTTTGATCATAAATTTATATAGCTTTCGCAGACGTCTGTCTATCTGAACCATAGATAAAAGAAAATAATCTACTATTAAGATAGATATGAAACTTAATAGTAAAATTTTGGGTCAAAGCGCCCCTCCGTGTTTTTAGTGGAGACTACGTTTAAACCAGCGCCTTCGCCTTTTCTGCTGTAAATGTTTTTTATGTTTATATTTGAATTCAAAGGATTTATTTTTAAAGTTACACTGATATATTAGTATATCAGAGTAACTTTAATAAAACATAAGAATATATATATTTTACAATTTATTTTACAGAGTTTCATGTAAATGATCTTAAGTCGACTGGCTGTCTAATGAATAGACCGAGATTTATAGATTTTAAAGCGAACGAAAAAAAGCAAACAACGAATACATACCATATATTTTTCTTTTATCTAAGATACATACCTTATCGTCTTTTGGAAACACGTACATTTTTGCAGTTTTGTTAGTTTCTTTGCAAGATGCAACACAACAAGAAAACAACATTTTTACAGTTAATAAATAATAAAACTATTTCTGACTATGTATTTAAAATTTAGATAGATAGAAAATTAAAATACAAACCAGTATTTGCAAACGCAGGCCCAAATTCAATAAAAATCGAAATTTTTCCTGCGAAAATCAGACTTTTTTCACTGAAAAGGTATTTTTTGATTTATCAGCAGTCATTGTCAAGTTGACAATATACAGGGTGTTTTCGAATTAGTCTAAAAAAATTATTGTGTGATTCCTCATGTGTTCTTAAAACAATTTTTATATAACCATTAGGTCTAAAGTACTTCCTTTCTGATCTACAGGGTGTTAAAAATAAAAAAAAAATCGATTTTTTTCCTTAACATAAATGGCACACCACTGCTTTTTTAAAGAAAATATATTTTTTTCTTGACTGGCCATCCTTTTTCAACAAAATTGATCTTTTGAGTTTTTCTGGTTCATCAAACGGTTGTCGAGAAAAAAATAAATATACTTATTAGGAGCCCGCCTTAATTCGTTTTCTAACGATGTTATATTTTTTAGATTAATTAGAAAACACCCTGTATATGCATATCACAGGCAACCAAATAAACTAGTAACCTCTAAAAATTATTTTTCCTACCACTAGCGACATACCGTGTTTTTAGTGTGTACTAAACTATTTTATCAAAATTTCGCCATATAAGTTTCCAGGCAATGATCTGAACAATGTAAGTTTAGGGCAGTGTCGTCCACTGCTCTGAATATTAGATTAAGGATATAAAAATTGTACTGTACGCCTCTGGCATTTCTGTAGCTTAGATATTATTTAAGGAACTGCAAGACAGGCCCTCACAACTTTTTTGCTGAAACCTTCTTTTTGCTAAACACTCTTTTACTTTTGCTCTTCAACTCTCTTTTTACTCTTCAACACATTATTAATTCTCACAGTTTCCCTCAGGGTAACTATTGTAATTAGTTTATCATAATTAAAGTTAAGTTATATTAAAAAACAACAGTGTACATTAATTCCACACCCGAAAAGACCCTCAACAAGTTGGCCCTTCTGAAGAGGACCACAACAATATCAATAATTTGTATGTACGAGTTTGTATTGAAATGAAATTTTGTGAGCATATGTACGTTAATTCAGAGCACTTTTTAAAAACATAGAGAGTTTTACAGGGTGTCCCCAAAAAAAGTTACATAATATTAAAGTTGTGTTTTTTGTAATGGAACACCCTATATATTAATTGATTTGTGGATTTTGGGAGAAAAATAAAGGTGAGTTTTATAAGAGAAGTATATTATGACAAAATTGTAAGGTTTTCGACATATTTAACATTTTCTAGAAATAAAGAACAATTTTTAAATTACAATAAAAGCTACCTAAATTGGAATTTATCCGGTATAGCCTAATATGTAGTTAAATTAACTGTTGTACTTTAAATCAAATTAAAATTTGATCCAAAAAGTTATACAGGGTGAGACAAAATTAATAAAGAACATTGGTTACCTTTAAAAGTATGTGCTCTTTTATTTTAAATGGAACACCCAGTATAATATTCCGATATTCAATGGAGAATTCATGTCTCTTCAAAATACTATTAAGGTTGCCTACCCCTCAAACAAAGATTTTCCTAGATATTTTCTTTTACATGATTTGATCTGAGTAGATCTTTATTATTTGATAAAATATAGCTGGCTGTGATTTGTCTGACGTTACTACGTCAACATAGCTGTCTAATTAGTCCAACTTTAACAACAAGTTATCATTTTATGTCAGTTAAAACAAAAAAATTCTAGAAATTTGCCGCAAATGCATACTTATCCTACATCAGAGCTAATAGAATACTTGAATGCTCCTGATTTTATCCAGTCTGTTTTGTTCAATGGGGGATATGTTAAAGACAGTGTTTACAAAACTCGACCAACTATTGTCGACAACATGAGAGAAATTATTGTACCTGCTTTTCGAGGTAGAACTCCACATATACTTTTTAAAATGAAAAGATCGTTTTGGAAAGACTATCATTTTATGCAGTTAACAGGAAAGGAAGCATTTTGAGCATTTGATTTTATCTAGCTAATTTTTGTCACATAATTATAGTTTTAATTCTGTAATAATTAAAATATATTTTAAACGTGCATCTTTTTATTACCGTTGAGTATTTTACTCTACAATCTTTAATTTTTGTTATATAATAATAGCTCCCGTATATAGCGTTTAACGCCTTGGGAGTAGCAAGGTACAGCTTGCCATACTAGAGCCGTTCGTTGTACAAGGAAGGTAATGTGGCTAGCACTACGTTTCAACCGCCTATTATTACCTCAGGATTGTGACTCATTTCATCCCAAGTACTCATTTAAGGCTGAGTCGACCTAGGTACCCAAACTATTTTTATTTTAAAAATAGTCGGCTGATGCAATGCCGGGTGTGGGAATCGAACCCACTACCTTCAGATTGGTAGACGAGAACCTGTACCTCTACGCCACTGGGCACCATCATTTTTTGTTAAATTAACAAAAGGTATATCACACCAACCACCCCTAGTTTTGTTCAAATAATAAAGATCTACTGACACAAAATCATAAAAATTTAAATATCTACGAAAATCTTTGCCTGAGGGGTAGGCAACCTTAATAATATTTTGAAGATATATAAATTATCCATTAAACACCGGAAAATATACTGGGTGTTCCAGAATATTTTCCAAAATAAAGGAGTAACTTACTTTTAAAAGTTACTAATGTTCCATATTAATTTTGTCTCACCCCGTATAACTTTTCGGGTCAAATTTCGATTTGGTTGAACATACAATAGTTACTGTAATTAAATATCAGGCTATACAAGGTTAGCTAAAATTTAGGAAGATGTTATCGAAATTTAAAATTTACTCTTCATTTTCACAAAATGTGAAATATGCCAAAATCCTTAGATTTTAGGTATATGCTTCTTTAATAAAACTCACCTTTATTTTTTTCTTAGAATCCGAAAATCAATTAATATATAGAGTGTTCCATTAGAAAAAACACAACTTTGATGTGTAACTTTCTTTGGGGATACCCTGTTCTATATATTTTTCTAAAATGATTTAGTTAACCTACATATGCTGCACATATAAATGACAGTGATCTTCATTATCGCTGATGCTCGGTCATTTGTATGTATAATATATCGAGATTATATTTATAACAATCAAATAATACATTTTTTAGATAAAAGGAGTTATATTTGATTCAGCACCGGGTAAACGACGAGTAATGAGTTTATTCAGGGCTATATCAGCCATTTTGGAAGGCAATATAATTTACAATTTTTCTGTGTCTTTTATTATGACAATGTTTCTGTCGGTCGTCTGGCTGTACGAGGTAATATTTTGTAGAAAAAAAAAATATTAAAAATGCTTCATAAATATTTATGTTTTAGATTGTTAGGAACCAGTTTTCTCCTAGATTAAATGTCCATAGTCACAATCCTTTTGAGAATTTACAGAAGGAAAAAAACAGATGTCCACAGTTGTTCATTTATTCAAAGAACGACGACCTTATACCGCACACAGTAAGTATTTTAGTTAAATCCCGCCAAACCAGTTAAAGAAAAGTAAAATATTAAAAAAAAACAAGTTTTTAAATCTATTTAATTCATTAAAACTACCGATTTCAGAAATTACTTTTTCATTTACATCCTCAAGTAAAATATTTTCTATGGTAACAGTTTAATTATCTCTGTTTTTACATGTTTAATATTTACAGATTGATAGTCATAGATAAAGGAAATAGGTTTAGATTGGAAAGCCCCTCAAAATATATAATTTTTTTGGGTCGCGACCGTTGTACGCGGCTGCTTTAGCGGTTGCTAAAAACAACCGCAAACAATAACAGAAATAATTTTCTCTTGTCAAAGTCCAAATCTTCAAAAATTATAAAATTTTTCAAAATTTAAACCGCTCACATTGAGAAAATACCGAAAAGTGTTTAAAGCAGTGGCGTAGCTACCTAGTGGCTAGGCGGGGCAGTGCCCCGGGAACCCTCAAGCTCAGGGGGCCCTCGAATCCTTACCAGAAATCTCGATCGAACTGAACTTTTGGAAATTTCTCCCATTTTCAAAATAAATATGACAGGTTGCAACCCCACTTTAATCATGACAACTCAGTTGAGAGAAATTCAAAAGTTATGCCTATGGAATTCCCTTAAATTCTTTCTGTAGGTTGGCAGCATGGTTGGCAGTGTTGTCAATTTGACGGATAGTGATATGTGCGTTTTATGTGCAGTGTATTGAACGACATCAATTATGCCTCCAAAACTTTACAAAAATGAAACATCAATTTGAGCGAGGCGAGTAAAGTTTTAGCAGAGACCAAAGCAAAGTTGGAAATTTATAGAAATGATTTCGAATTATTCAAGTGCAAAACCAGTGAAACTACAAGAAAATATGGTATTGATACCCATTTTCAAGAAAAAAGGCAAAGAAAAGTTAAAAAACATTTTGATGATATACTTATATAGTACACTTGATAGTATACTATACTACACTTCTGCAGCAGCTGAAAGGTCATTTAGCAAATTAAAAATAATAAAAAATTATTTAAGAAATAATAGGGGCCAACTCGAATCCGACATTTATCGCTAATAGCAATTGAAAACAAAACCGCATCAAGCCTGGATTTAAACGAAGTCATTGATACTTTTGCGAAAACTAAAGCTAGGAAAAAATTGTAAATATAATTGTTATTTAGTCAGTTGGTAGTTGACCTTTATATAATAAACCCTTGAATCTTCTCTATTTCGTTTTATTAGCCAAACCTACACCAAGTATTAACATTGGCGTAACTACAGGGGAGCCCGTGGGTGCCGGGTCCCTTTCCAGGTACTGCTGGGCACCCCCCAGAGAAATTCTGAATTATGACTCTTGGCTAAGCATTAATTTTTATTTGGGGTGCAAGGGGTAGTGAAGCGACACATATAGCCTAGCTTACCCAAAAGTCAACCTTACCTTCACGCGGTGCACCCTGTTTACACAAACGAGGCTCTGACGTCCGAGTATAGGCGGTATAACCTTACACAACCCCACAGACCTACCATCTTTCTGGGGAAGAGGAGTAGTAAACTACTCCTAGCCGGCCGAGAACGTAGCACAAGGGAACTATTGTCGCGGTCCTCACTGTGCCATAGCCATCCCGTGCTACAGTTGCAGCCAAAACTGTGCGGCAGCGTAACCGTTACAGTTAAACCTTTTCACGCAGCTAACACACATCAATGATGGAACAGTAGTACAAAATCATCATCTGGGGGTAAAATACCCCCTCAGTCGGATCTCCGGGAGGGGGTGCCTACTCGAGCGTATCATCGGAAAAACAAAAAACATCAATGTTTCACGTTTGCGGCGAACGTCCGCACTCTACTGGACAAGATAAATTCAAATCGACCAGAGAGAAGAACAGCACTGGTCTCACAGGAACTCCACCGACTAAATATAGATGTTGCCGTTCTTAGCGAAACCCGCTTCGCGGACGAGGGTAGTCTCACTGAAGAGCATTACACCTTCTTTTGGAAAGGTCACCCCGCAACACACAGGAGAATTCATGGCGTAGGCATTGCAATCAAAAACGAAATCGCCACCAAATTAACAGAAGTGCCTATCGGTGTCTCCGAACGTCTTATGACCCTAAGGTACCCCATATCAGACAAATCTTACGTCAACATCATTAGTGCCTACGCTCCCACCCTAGACGCTAAAATTGAGGATAAGGATAAATTTTACCAAGCTCTACAAAATGCTCTCCAACGAATTCCAAAGCACGAACGAATCATTTTGCTGGATGACTTTAATGCTCGTGTCGGTAGACAACAGGAAATATGGCCTGACGTATTGGGAAAACATGGAATGGAAAACGTAAATAGCAATGGTGAACGCTTATTAACCACATGCACATGTTGAAGGACAAGTTTAAAGGTACCTGGAAACATCCCAGATCAGGTCACTGGCATCAATTGGACCACGTAATCGTTCGAAGGACGCATCTAAAAGATGTCAAACTCACAAAAGCCAGAATAGATGCCGAATGCGGCACTGACCACCGACTTTTAATTTCAAAAATGAAAATCCAGTTAAAACCGAAACATTCACACTGTAAAAAGCAAAACAACATAACCAGATTAAACGTACGGGGTCTAGAGACCAAAAATACCGCCGACGCCCTCCGGGAAGCCATCAAAGAATCACTTCCACCGCTAACTTGTCTCAATCTTGGAAGCTGAATAAGGCTGGACACAATTAAGGGATGCGATTCATAAAACTAGCGAAGCAGTATTGGGAAAGTCCACCAAAAAGAAACAACCATAATATATGAAACAACCATATCATATACAGACCTTGTTGGAACAAAAGAATAGAGCACATCAAGCAGTCACTGCAAATCCACACAATCCAAGGCTGGTAGACAACTTTAAAGCAGCCAACAATACGCTTCGAAGAAATCTGCGCCAATTAAAGGATGACTGGTGGTCACAAAAGGCTAATCAGATTCAAGAGTACGCCACACATCACGATTATTGTAAATTCTTCCAGGATGTAAAAGAAGTATACGGCCCAACCAAGAAGGTAAGCTGCCCAATCATGGCACAAAATGGCGAACTTCTAAAAGAGGAAGAGCAAATTAGAAACCGCTGGAAAGAGCACTACAGCCATATCTTTAACCAAGAAAACAACCCCAATATGGAAGCACTAAATACAATACCTCAGTATAACAGCCTCGATGTATTAGATACTCCAATAACAGAACAGGAAATAATAGCATCCATAAAACAGCTTAAAAACAACAAATCAGCTAGCTGTGACGCGATCCAGTGTGCAAGTAAAGAACTTAATGGTCATCTTAAGGCTCTCTTCGATGTCATATGGGAAAGCGGAGAGGTACCTCAGGACTTTTGCAACGCGAATATAGTGAATATATTTAAGAACAAAGGAAGTGCATCAGACTGCGGAAATTACCGGGGAATTTCACTATTGGCTATCAGAGGAAAAATTCTTGCAAAAATTATGTCAAATCGCCTGCACCCACATATAGAAAAAATCCTTCCAGAATCGCAAACGGGTTTTCGCACCAACCGTGGCACCGTCGATTCCATATTTTCCATCCGCCAACTACAAGAAAAAGTAAAAGAGCAGCAGTCTAAACTTTATGTTGCATTCATCGATCTAACAAAAGCCTTCGATTCTGTGAACAGAGATGCACTTTGGGCAATTATGAAAAAGTTCGGTGTATCTAACAAATTTCTTACAGTGTGTAAGAGCCTCCATAACAACCAGTCAAGAGTGACACATCATGGATCACTGAGCGATCCCTTCCTGACAAGTACAGGAGTTAGGCAGGGATGTGTCTTAGCGCCTCTCTTATTCAACATATTCATGGCAGCGCTCTCCATTATAGTGGACAGCAAACTGCAGGAGAGAGGATTGGGCATTAGATACAGATATGACGGCGGTCTGTTCAACATAAAAAGATTCAGGGCAAAAACACGTACACAATTCATCACAGAATTTCAATACGTTGATGACTGCGCTCTAGTTGCAAACACGTTACAACAATTACAAGAAATGTTGAACACATATACCTGGGCATACGAGGCTTTGGGCCTTAAGCTAAACATCAACAAAACCAAAATCATGTGTATTCCTCCAGAAGATCATAACAATGCTATAAAAATCGGAGAACTATTGGAATATGTAGCGGAATTTAATTACCTCGGCAGTCTGATTTCGGAAAAGGCCAATATCGACTCTGAAATTCAGCACAGAATTAGCAGCGCCTCGAGAGCATTCTGGAAATTACTAGGATTACTAGGACAGGGTTTTCTACAATCATGACTTGAGTACAAAAACAAAACTTGCAGTGTATCGAGCAATTATAATCCCCACCATGTTATATGGGAGCGAAACCTGGGTGCCGTACCGCCGACACATGAACGGATTAAACAAGTTGCAACAGAGACACCTTAGACAACTCTTAAGAATCCGGTGGTTCCATTATGTTTCAAACGTATCGGTAAAAGCTAACTGCGAGAGTATTGAAGTCATGGTTACAAAATGCCGCTTAAGATGGGCTGGTCACGTATGCAGAATGCAAGAAAATCGCATACCAAAATCTCTGCTTTACGGTGAGCTTGTAGACGGTAAGAGGAGGCCGGGTGGACAACTCAAAAGGTGCAAGGACATTTTCCACGAAAACTTAAAGGGGATTAACATGCAGAATCATTGGGAAGAAGCAATTCACAATAGAACTCAATGGAGAAGAATTGTAAACTCAGTTAACAGCGACAACCAAAAAGTAAAGAGGCAACAAAGCAATGAGATTTTTGAACGTCCGGAGTGCGGTAGGCAAATAACATCACCTATCGGGCTTTTCAGTCACAGAGAAGCTCATGTAAGAAAACGCCTTGCGTGACCATCTTTTGATGCGTGTCGAATACTCGTCAGCGAGTAGTGGCAGTATGTGTGTATGTATGAAATTTTTATTTGCTCGTGAGGCAGTAAAAATAACGTTTTCTAGTTTTGTTTAG